AGAATGGTTAACTATTTTTTATATAATATATAGCAAGAAAAAACAATTTCGACAAAAATATTCTGTTAAATATATTAAAATTTAAGTAGTTTTTAATAAGCAAAAGCGGATACCTACTATTTTCTAGATATTCAGATATATTTGAGCTATTAGTGTGTTCTGGTTGTATAACTTAACCTCCTGGTCAAATACTAGTCGAGTCGCATGGAAAGTAGCGAGGAAAGGAGGCAGAGACGTAGTGTGACCACAATACTCATCATGCCGCACGACATGCTCCTCGTCATGCCCATCGCTCCCTGTTTTGTCGGTTTTTTGGGCACAAGTCAAAGGAATGGCAATACGAGCGCGAGTGGCTGGCCACACACTCGCGCAATCCGCAGTACGACTGTTTGAGTCGAACGCTCTTTACGGACGCACGTCACATGTCAATTTAAAATCATAAATAGCGTACCTATCATCATCATTCAGCCATATTATAACATAAATATATAATATAAAGATTTCTCTATATATTATATATCTATTTAAGCTATCTTGACAACGACAACGTATATTTCTTTTTATGACATTGATATAATCAGCTATAATAAATATGCATAGCTCGCACACTGCAAAACTTTGAACATCCATTGTTGCAAACGCGACTGACCTAGTGCGGAGCGTCACGATTAATTGCGTGAGTAGAGCAGTGGGTGTCCACACACTGCTCTACACGCGCAATTAATCATATCATCATCATAGAGCTATTGTTTACTATAAAGTTTGTCTCACGCTCGGTTTCTGAGGTCCTTAGATAAACTCATAATGGTATTAATTTTTTTTATGGGATTGGTTGACAAAAGCGCACACAGTCCACCTGATGGTAAGCGCTGATGGTTGCTGCGGCCCATAGACATCTACAATTATCCTCGATTACAAATCAAAATGCAGATGCGTTGTCACTCGTGAGGACTAAGATGGAATGCCTCGTTTCCAGTAAAAAGGGTCTCCGGTTCTCTACACTCAACATACGAAACACAGCACCATTAAGCTACTATTTTATGCTGGTATTCTGTTACAGCGTGGTCCTTCCCCGGTCGGGCCGACCCATTCATGTTAAGTACAACTACACTACTAATTATTAAGATTCCCTATAAATCCAAATATTAGAGAAAAGTGGTTGCGAATGTTAAATGGATCAAATTGGATATAGTTCATAAATTGACGATTTTATATGACTGAATAAAATGATATTCTTAATATTGTTGTGCGCCTAAGTTGACGTCTGATACTTGGCACTAGCGCCATCTAGTGTCGGAGACCAGAGTGAGGAGGGCTTCCTAGAAAATGTCAATCTTGAACTTCCTAGAAAATGTCGGTCCTGAACCAACAGCGCCTCTAGTATCGAACAGAAGAATTAAGCTTTCTAGAAGTCCCACACTCGGACTTTCTGGGCCTGGTCGGTCGGCGCCCGTATTTGCTGGAATATTCTGGATGTTTCGGTGTAATAGGTGTATTTAAAGCCGCTACAAGCCGCGATATGGCAGTGTTGAATTTTGCGATCAAGCAAAGCTTCGGAGCGAAATTAAGTGAATCAGTGTGATTAATTATTAGTGTCTTTTAATTTTTAATTAGTATTCGGTAATTAAAGTGTTAATTTTGGTAATTCAATCGGCAGTATTTATTGTCACGAACCCTATGCTCGTAACAATTGGTGTCAGAAGTGTAGCACCAGTCAAATCACGCCAAATCATGCCGATTTTACCTAAGGACGAAATGGGGCGTGTCCGTACCTAAAGTCAACGCCAGCGGGAGACGGACCAGAGACGATTTGGTGGTGTAACGCCGCAGACGTCTGAGGGCCAGCCGCCGGTCACGGAGGCCGGCCCATCAGCAGCTCCTACGTCTAGAGCACCTGACTTAGGTGCTCTGATGGTGACATAATTTTATCAAAATAAAAACTTCGAAATAAGTAAAAGAAGTGAAAACAGTGAAATATATACATTTCATGAAAAAAGACTACAAATATCATTTTGCAATATAACCTAATAGTGTTAGTCATCATCATAGTCATAGACAAAAAATGTAATGGTTAACATTAGACGAAGAAATGAAATCAATAATGATAGAAATAATGTTAAGATAGAAAACTTAATGGCATAGAAAAAGAGAAAGAGAAAGAAACGAAAAAGAGAGACAGGAACATATTTAGATAGCCATGAAATTAACAACATTTACAGGATCGGGCAGAGGACGAATAATAAAAACCGCCCAGTCGTTGTCTCCATCACATTGTTAGGGAAAAAACACATAATACTGAAAAATAAGTCTAAGCTTCCATCAGGTATATACGTAAATGAAGACTTCCCTAAAGAGGTACTAGAAAAGAGAAAGCAGTTACAGTCGCAGGTTGTGGAAGAAAAGAAGAAAGAAAATATAGCTTTCTTAAAATACGACAGAATAATAGTGAAAAAACCAATAGACAAAAACCGAGAAAAGAGGAAGAGAGAAAAATCTGATTCACCTAACGTATCAACACAGAAGAAAATTAACACAGTGAATAATTCAATATATCCATCAACTAAAACCACCGAAAAAGAAATTATAAGACCCAATATATTGAATTATGTTGAGAGAGGAAGGTCAGCTTCACTTTCAGACACTCCAAAACACTGATAACTGCCATCGATACCCGGAATCAAAACAAAACGACTACCATAACATTATCAAAGCCAAATTTTGTGAAATGCACCCCAAGCCGGCCGGTCACCGTGGGGGAAGAAGACCACTACCCTACAAATAACCCACTCAAACTTGAAGCACAGGTGCACTCTAAAACACTGCGTCAAAATAACAATATAACTAATGACAATATAATTAATATAGCAACCATACCATACCCTTTCTCTAAGAACCAATGAAAGCCTAGTTGAGCTGATACTAGCATTCGAACACATTAACTGGTCGATAGTAGGACTGAGTGAAGTTCGACGCCTGGGTGAGAATATAGAGGATTATGGCGACTTTATTTTATATTCTAAAGGAGATACACCAGGTCAATCTGGAACAGGATTTTTTGGTCAAAAAAAGAATTATAACTTTACATTGACGAATTCATAGCGTTATCTGAACGTATTGTTATACTCCACTTAAAATTACCGCCCAAAAACGCAAAGTGGTCAATCATACAAATTTACTCTCCAACTGAACAGTCCAGTAGTGTTGAAATTGACTCTTTCTACTCTATGTTAACAGAAGCAATAAAAACTTATACCTACATACAATAATTTGATAGTTATGGGCGATTTCAACGCAAGAACGGGAAGCAGAGGCTATGGAGAAGAGACGGTATTGGGTCCACATTGTTCAGGAAAGAGAACAAGGAATGGCGAGTAACGCATACAAATGGCATATGAAGACAACCTGAAAGATTTACTTCAACATTACTTAACAGCTTATACAAACAAAGAGATAATAACAGATGGACTTGGAAATCTCCAGATTGCCGATATAGAAATGAGATAGATTATATTCCAACTAATAAAAGTAATGATTTCACTGATTGTAGAGTCATAAATAACCTAAACTTCAACAGCAACCATAGAATGGTCAGAGCCAAGCTTCGTCTCCAGATGTTTAAGAGAAACAGACCTTTTAAGGTAAAGCAAAGCAACATTACAATTCTAGAAAATACTGAAAGGCTAAAAGAAAAATTAGAAAGTTTTATAGAAAACACAAAGGATATAGATATTAAAACCAAATACAACAAATTCGAAGAACTATTAATTACAAGAGTGAAGAGTAACCCTAGTAATAGAAAAGAAGGGATAAAATGGCTAACAAATGAAACCAAAGAATTGTTAAGAAACAGAGCCATACTAACATCGATGGCTCAAAAAACAAAAGAATCAAGGAAAGATATAGCTGACTTAAGTAAGAAAATCTAACATGAGAAGAGACCGCCAAAGAAGCCACAGGTTAGAATTAATAGAAAAATGTATTCAAGAGACCGGAGCAACCAAAAAAGCATTCAAAAAATTGAAGGAAAAAATAGTGTGGATACCCAGCATCACAGGTAGAAACCGCAATTGCGAAACCAGACGCCCCGAAATTATCTCAATAGCCACAAACTTTTTCCGAGAGTTGTATGCAAATAAAAGCAACAGTCAAACAACAGACCTAGCGGGCGGAGAAGAAGTACTAGATATAATACCTGCAGAAGTGGAAAAAGCTGTAAAACTCAAAAGAAAGATAAAGCTCCCGGTTCAGATGGAATCAGTAACGAATTTCTTATCGAAAATAAAGATCACCTTTTACTAATCCTGACATACCTATTTAACGAAAGAGAGAGATAATACCTGATCAGTGGACAATATCAAACTTAATACTGCTACACAAGAAAGGAGATAAGAATAATATAAATAATTATAGGCCTATTAGCTTAATGTCGAACATCTACAAAGTTTTTGCCAAGGTAATTCTTAACAGAATATCCAAAATGCTAAAGGATAATCAACCGAGAGAACAAGCGGGATTTAGAAGTGGTTACCCGACATTAGACCGTATACATGTGGTAAAACAACTATTTGAAAAAGGTAAGGAATTTAATATAACCTTCTACTGTGGTTTTGTTGATTACAGTAAGGCCTTTGACTCACTTGAACATGAAGTGATCTGGCAAGCGCTTAAAAACCTAGGGTATTGAAAATAAATACATAAGAATAATAAAAAACATATATAAAAACAGCAAAGCTAGAATCCAACTAGAAAGAGAAGGTAAGGACATAAAAATAGGAAGAGGTGTACGCCAAGGTGACCCCATGTCACCCAAACTTTTTACAGCTGTTCTGGAGGAGGTTTTCCGTCACCTGAACTGGGAGAAATGCGGACTATCAATAAATGGAGAAAATCTGTCGCACTTAAGATTTGCAGACGATCTGATAATCTTCTCACCATCGGCAGAGGGACTACAGGCAATGCTAAATGACCTAGACATTGTAAGTCGTAGAGAGAGATTAGTCATGAATGAACAAAAAACAAAAGTCATGACAAATGGGAGGAAAGAACCTATATGTGTTAACAACAACAAAATTGATTATGAAAATGAATATGTATATCTGGGTCAAGTAATCTTACCAATAGATGCAACTTCAAAAGAAATTGATAGACGCATTTGGAACGCATTTAAAACAATATTGGAGTCTGAAAGAGCTTATGAAAAACAGAGAAATAAGTATGACCATCAAGCGGAAACTGTTTGACACTTGTATACTGCCTGTATTGACATATGGTTGCCAAACCTGGGCACTGACTAAATCTCACAACAGAAAACTTGCAGTGTGCCAAAATGCTATGGGAAGGAGTATGTTGGGCAAAAACCTGAAAGATAAAATAAGAACTACAACCATAAAGAAACACACCGGAACAAGGGACATTACGGTAACCATAAGAAAACTAAAATGGAAATGGATAGGGCATACAATTAGGGGCAAAGAAAAATGGTCAAAAACAATAATATTCTGGTTCACAAGAAACAGGAGAAGGAAACGAGGAAGACCATCCATAAGATGGATCGATGAAATAAAGGCTGTTGCAGGTGGCACATGGACAAGAGTGCCCGGTGACAGAGAAAAATGGTCACAGTTGGAGGAGGCCTTTGTCAAAAGAGGCACACAGACAGGGATGTTGAAGCAAAATTAGTCTATAAAAAGAAAAATATATGGAAGAAAGTATAAACTAACATTGTCTGAATAAAAGGCTTTTATTATTATTATTATTATTATTTAATTAAGGTGTTAATTTTGGTAATTCAATCGGCAGTTTTTATTGTCACGAACTCTAAGCTCGTAACAATTGGTGTCAGAAGTGGGATCAAATCATGCCGATTTTACTAAGGACGAAATGGAGGGTGTCTGTACCCAAAGTCAACGCCAGCGGGAGACGGACCAGAGACGATTTGGTGGTATAACGCCACAGACGTATGAGGGCCAGCCGCCGGCCACGGAGGCCGGTCCATCAGCAGCTCCTACGTCTGGAGCACCTGACTTAGGTGCTCTGATGGTGATTCTGCAGCAGCTGCGGGACGGACAGGAGTAATAGGCCCGTCGACAGGAGTAAGGCCCGTCACAGAGGAACAGGCCCGTCGGTTGGAAGATCAGCAGGCGGAACAGGCTCGTCGCTTGGAAGAGCAGCTCAAACGCGATAAGGAAGAGCAGATGCTCCTCATAAAGGACATTCACGCTACCTTCGGGAAAGAGATAAGGGAGGTGAAGGAGAAGGTTGCTCAACATGACAACCGCCTGTCGGAAGCTAAAACCCGAATCGACCAAGTGAACAATCGGAAAAGGAAAAAACCACACACACCAACAAAAACAGGGAGCAGGCCCGTTGACAACGTGATGGCTGATGTGAAGAAAACGCTGGACGACCTCAAACTGGGGGATGGAATTACAGCCCCCCGTAGTAGCTACAAAACTTTCGCTACGTGGATTCAAAGTACCGCCGTTCGACGGGACTTCTTCATGGTCAGCCTACAAAATCCAGTTCGAGGCTGTCTGGTAACTGTGTTGGTAGCTCTCGGTAAAAAAGTGACCTACGAGCAGTTCCTCGAGGCATTGGAGGCGAAATATGGCGACGCTCACCTGGAACATGTGAACATGAAGGGAACCTGGTGCAGACATTCATCGACGGCATCCGCGACCTTGAAGCCAAAGCTGCTGTGAGGCTCGGGCACCACGAGACGCTTAAGGGCGCCTTGGCCCACGCACTGCAGGTGGAAGCCGTGCGGCAGGATCATCGTTCCCATCGCGTCAGGGAGGTTGCAGTAGCTACAATTCGCGATCGCAATAAAGGATACAGCCCTAGGTGCAATGGTTGTGGAGAAAGGGGCCATCTTCGATCCAGCTGCCCTAAGCGAACCGTATAAAGGGAAGGTGAACGATCCCGGGAGGGTATTGCGGCCAACAGCACCGCTCAGCAGCACCAGGGAAATGAGTAAAAGCCAGAACTGCGGGCCGGGTGCTGGCTGATTTTAAAAGAGCCCCAAGGATCTCGATCTCACAAACCCATGATGGGAACAGTCTAATCATCAAGGGCGAGGTCAACGGAATGCCGTGTAAACTGACCATAGACACTGGAGCCTCTCGTACGGTTGTTAGTTCCCAACTTATAAGTCAGTTCCTTGGGGACTCCGCATACAACCGAGAACGCATTAATTAAATTGGTACGCACTTTTGGATGACTGTCGCAGCGTTCTCTCCCCGAACGAAATGGTCAAGGCGAAGAAGTTGTTACTCAAGTATGCTGATGTATTCTCATCAAACGATGCTGTCATAGGAAAGACTGGGTTAGTTCAACACAAAATAAACACCGGAGAAGAATTGCCTATCCGTCAGCGGCCAAGAAGATTGCCGGTAGCACGTGAAAAGGAAGTGGAAACCATGATTGAAGGAATGGTGAAGGATGGTGTTATTGAACCTTATCTAATCCATGGTGTTCACCCGTGGTGCTGGTAAAGAAGAAGGACGGCAGCATGCGGTTCTGTGTTGACTACCGCCGTCTGTACGGCGTTACAAAGAAGGACAGCTATCCCTTGCCAAGAATTGATGACACGCTGGACATGCTTACAGGAGTAAAGTGTATTAGCACGCTGGATTTAAAAAGTGGCTACTGGCAAGTTGAAATCGACCCTAAGAACAGGAGAAAACTGCGTTCTCGAGGGGAAAGGGTCTGTGGCAATATAAAGTAATGCCGTTTGGGTTGTGCAATGCTCCAGCAACGTTTGAAAAGTTAATGGAACTTTTACTTACCGGGCTAATTGGCGATGCCTGTCTGGTCTACTTGGATGACATCATCGTATGCCGTACGTTTAAGGAACACCTTCAAAACGTGGAACGCGTGCTCATGAAGATTCAGAGTGCCAACCTCAAGTTGAGTCCAAATAAATGTTCACTATTCAAACGGCAAGTTAACTTTTTGGGGTATGTAGTGTCGGAAGAAGGTATCCGCACGGATCCAGAAAAAATCGCCGCTGTCAAGGATTGGCCGGTTCCAAAAGACAAGATGAAGGTTAGAGCATTTTTGGGTTTGTGCTCCTATTACCGGAGATTTGTGAAAAACTTTGCCGATATAGCCAAACCTCTGCAAAAGCTAATCGACGAAAAGCGACATTTCTGCTGGGACGAAAGTTGCGACATCGTATTCCAGGAGCTCAAGGACCGTCTTTTCAAAACACCTATATTAGGGTACCCTGATGCAGGCAAGGAATTTGTAGTCGACAATGACGCAAGTGATACAGAACTCGGCGGTGTGTTATCTCAACGGAACGGTGATCGAGAGGTTGTGATAGCGTACTTCAGCAAGTCGTTCTCAAAATCGGAAAGGAACTATTGTGTCGCAAGACGCGAATTACCAACTGTGGTAAAGTCGTTGCAGCATTTTAGCAAATATCTTCTGGGTGGAAATTTCACCTACGAACTGACCATGCTGCACTAAAATAGCTATTGCAGTTTAAAGAAAAATTCCAGGAAAATTGCCGAGTTATGTGTACTCATAAAACAAGAACAACTTCTTATCACCCGCAATCTGATGGAATGGTAGAACGATTTAATCAGATATTGGATAGGTACCTAGCAAAAATTGTAGACAATCGGCAACGAGATTGGGACAAGCACATACAACCGTTTTTTTTGTCATATCGAATTGCTGTTCACGAAAGTACATCAGTGACACCAGCTTTGGCAAACTTTGGAAGAGAATTACGGCTGCCTGCACACTTGATCACCGGGATACCACCTGATGCCCCACGCAGTATAACCGATTATGCAAATGACTTGTGTAACTAAATGAATAACATTTATGAGCACGTCAGACAATCGGGCCAGCAAATGTCTGAGAAGATGAAAAACCCGGTATGACCGCAAAATGAACAACAAAGGGTTCGACGAAGGTTCACTAGTGTGGTTGCACAATCCAGTCCGCAGCAAAGGGAAATCTCCTAAGCTTCAAGCTAAATAGGACGGCCCGTAACGGATTGTGATCAGGATCAACGATGTAACCTACCGGATACAGAAAGGCGCAAGAGGGACTCCTAATATCGCCTGGCGCATTATTATGGGGCCGATAATGCTCGGGCCGAGCATATCTTAGGAGGGGGCAGTGTTGCGCTCCTAAGTTGACGTTTGGTACCTGGCACTAGCGCCATCTAGTGTCGAGGACCAGAGCGAGGAGGGCTTCCTAGAAAATGTCAATCTTGAACTTTCCACCAACAGCGCCATCTAGTATCGAACAGAGGAATTAAACTTTCTAGAAGCCCCACACTCGAACTTTCTGCGTCTGGTCGGTCGGCGCCTGTGTTTGCTGGAATATTTTGGATGTTTCGGTGAAAGGTGTATTTAAAGCCGCTGCAAGCCGCGATCGGGGCAGTATTGAATTTGGCGATTCAAGCGGAGCTTCGGAGCGAAATAAAGTGAATCAGTGTGATTAATTATTAGTGTCTTTTAAGTTTTAATTAGTGTTCGGTAATTAAAGTGTTAATTTTAGTAATTCAATCTTCAGTTTTTATTGTCACGAACCCTAAGCTCGTAACAATATCTTAGTACATATTGTTGCGCGCCTAAGTTGACGTCATGTACCCGGCACTAGCACCATCTAGTGTCGGGGACGAGAGCGAGGGGAGCTTCCCAGAAAATGACATCACTAATCTTTCAACCGACAGTGCCATCTAGTATCGAAACGGAGAACTAAGCTTCTAGAAGCCCGACACTCGATCTTTCGGCGTCTTGTCGATTGGTGCGCGTATTTACTTGAATATTCTGGATGTTTCGGTGATAATGTGTATTTAAAGGCGCTGCAAGATGCGATCGAGGCAGTATTGAATTTGGCGAGACAAGCGAAGCTTCGGAGCAAAATAAAGTGAATCAGTGTGGTTAATTATTAGTGTTTTAAGTTTTAATTAGTGTAAAGTGAATTAAAGTGTAAATTTTGGTAATTCAATCGGCAGTTTTTATTGTCACGAACCTCAAGCTCGTAACAATTGTTGTCAGAAGTGGGATAAAATCATGCCGATTTTACCTAAGGAGGAAACGGAGGGTGTCCGTACCCGAAGTCAAGCCAGCAGGAGACGGACCAAAGAAGATTTGGTGGTGTGCAACGCCGCAGACGTCGGAGGGCCAGCGGCCGGCTGCAGGCCCGTCAGTAGCTCCTACATCTGCAGCACCTGACTTAGGTGCTCTGATGGTGATGCTGCAGGAGCAGGCTCGCC